TATATAGTATATATATATAAACAAAAAATTTTAATTGAAACATTAAAATATGCTATATGATTATTTAAAACAGTAAATGTGGAAATTTTATGGGAACTTCAGAACCTCATTCAGCACAAACGATTTATAGAATTTATAGATATATACTGTAATCAGATCATAATGATCATAAACCAGCTTTGCAGGTTTTTACATTTTTTATCAGCTTTTGATTCAGCCAGGGTAAGGTACCCCTGTATCGGTGCTAAGCGATAACCTCAACCCGACGTGCTACGCCCGACTGAACCTGACAGCATGCCGTCCATCGCGCTGAATGAGGTTTTGATGGTTCCATGAAAAGGCCGATTAGAGTATAATGTTTCAGGCCATAGAGAGGTGCCCGTCTGATTCAAATCCACTATTGGCCCATTGCCGGCCGCTGTTCTCTCATGATAGCCTGCTGCCAGGACACCGTAATAATCAGTCAATCCAGACACGCCTCTGCTGTGCCAATCAGAGACCTCTAGAGCCGCTTGCCAATGTGAAATCCGGAAGGTTCTCTGACTGGACGTTAATGGAACGATCAGAATTTGACTGCAAATCAGATACTGACACTCTGAAACATAAAATTCCAATTAGGATTATTGCAAGCAGAACAACAAGAACATTTTTAATCTCCATTCACTCTTACAAATAAAGGTTCCAAAAGGTTGGTTTCACAGCGATGCCATAGAAGAACCATTTATTTGGTTCCTCAAAGAACCTTTCAGTTGAAAGTTCTTAAAAGAACCTTTTTTTTTTTTATGTGAAGAACAATTTAAACGTCTAAATAATATTTTTGGTTTTATGGATGTTGAACGTTCTTCAGGGAACCACTGATGCCAATAAAAAAAATTTATTTTAAAAGTGTATAGCAACTTCATTTAAGAACCTTTCTGTCTCCATTCGTCCTTCGTCTATTTCTACTTTCGTTGCTAAACCTCCAACATTCAAGTAATCAAATAAGAGGTGTTCCAGGGTTAAAAGAAATCCAACCTGTGAGAAACCAAGAGAAGGGGGGTGCCTGACTGAGAGTGAAAGCAGAGAAAGAGACGGACAGACACAGTAAGAGAGTGAGAAAGACAGTTCATCCCCAGAAGACAGACAGTTTGTGCTGTGGCTCCACATTTAAGCAAGTCTCCAAATGCAGTTTGCTCATTTAAAAGGATGGTTCATCAACAAATGACAATTCTGTCACTTATTCACCCTCACGTTGTTTCAAACCTGCATCTCTCTTCAAAGAAAAAAGCTTCCAAATAGGGTTTTCACAGCAATATCATAGAACCATTTTTGGTTCCCCAGAGACATTTTTTCTTAGTCTGAAGAACACTTTAACTATCTGAAGAACCTTTTTCACTATTTCCAGAACTGCACTGGAAAGGTTCAATGAATATTAAAAGTTCTTCATGGAACCATCAATGCCAATAAGGAACAACAAAAAGAGATATTTCGGAGGATAATTCACATCAACCATGACTGTCAAGCTACAAAAAGAACTACAAAAGCACAATATTAGTAGTCCATATGACGTTTGCACTGAATTCATTCAGAAGGCGTATGATAGCTTTGTGTGAGAAAGTCATTCATTGATAATCTTCTCCAAGTTCTGAAATTTCAGTATTGACTACGTTTATGGTGCTTTTCGGTTTTTTTTTTGTCCTTCATGAAGCTCAAAGGTCATGGTTACTGCATTTTGCATAACATTCTCTCCCAGTAAACCATAATGTTTGGAGGAACATGAGGGTAAGTATAAATAATGATTTTCATCAACAAACTATCCTTTCAAATGAATAAATGCATTAAAATCTGACAAAATGTTTAGGGAAAACCTCAGCTGATCTAGTTTTCTCTTTATAAAGATTGATAAGAATAAAAAGAAGAACAGAACGGGAATCCTCTTCCAGAGTCTACCTTTCTTTTTGTTGAATTCATCTTCTTGATCATCCGATTCCTCCGTGTGATAGCTCAGCAGCTCTTCCTGGTAGACCTCAGCATAATCCACCTGTTTGACCTTTGACTTCTTCCCTTTCTTTGCTTTCTTTTCCTCGTCGCTGTCAGAACCCTTCTTTTTCTTTTTATCCTTTTTCTTCTTCTTCTTATCCTCCTCTTCCTCCGCCTCCTCCTGCACGGCATCCTCATCCTCCTCCTCCTCGGCCGACTTCTTCTTTTTCTTGCCGTCTTTGCTCTTTTTCTCCTTGGACCCCATGTCTTCTTGTCTTTCTTTGCTTTCGGATGGTTTACTCTTCTTTTTCTTCTCTTTCCTTACCTCCCGTTCCTCGTTTGAGGTCCGTTTTTCTTTGCTGATGGGCTCATTGTTGTTCTGCTCATCCGTCCCGTTGTCATTCTCTGTCACCTCAACATCTTCCTTTTTCTTTTTCTCTTTCACAGATTCGCTCTTTTTTCTCTTCTCTGTACGTGTCTCAGCGCTCTCTATCTTCTCCTCGGAGCTCTTCTGTCTTGTCTTTGCGTCCCTCTTACTCTTTCCTTTTGCCGTTGGCTCCTTCTCCTCTCCTTCGTCATCCCTATCTTCGGTTTCTGTTGGTTTTTTCTCTTTTGTGGGCATCTTTTATTCATCCGGAGTGTGGCTGGGTGAGGGTGAGTGTTTCCTCGCCGTCTGCGGTGTAAGGTGTCGCCGTCTGACCCGCGCCGGCCGATGGGCCCCTGCATGCAGCTGGAGCGGGGCCTCAGCTCGGAGCCGGAGGCTCTCTCGTGCAGGCACCGAGCTCATGAATAATTACTGTGCTCAGCGTGGTCACATAATCTGTGAGAGAAAGCAAATGAAAACGGAGAGGACAGCGATCATTTAAGAACCTTTCTGTCTCCATTCGTCCTTCGTCTATTTCTACTTTCGTTGCTAAACCTCCAACATTCAAGTAATCAAATAAGAGGTGTTCCAGGGTTAAAAGAAATCCAACCTGTGAGAAACCAAGAGAAGGGGGGTGCCTGACTGAGAGTGAAAGCAGAGAAAGAGACAGACAGACGCAGTGAGAGAGAGAGAGAGAGAGAAACAGTTCATCCCCAGAAGACAGACAGTTTGACAGTAGGTCGGGTGCTGTGGCTTTACACTTAACCAAGTCTCCAAATGCGATCTGCTCATTTAAAAGGATAGTTCATCAACAATTGACATATCTGACACTTATCCACCCTCACATTGTTCCAAACCTGCATAAAGCTTCCAAAAGGGGTTTTCGCAGCAATGGCCAAAGAAATGTGAACAGTTCTTAAAAGAACCTTACCTTTTTCTTTTTTAGTTTGAAGAACATTGTAATCGTCTGAAGAAACTTTTGTGTATTCAAAGGGTTCTATATTAAAGGTTCTTCATAGAACCATCAGAGCCAATAAGGAACCACAAAAAGAGACATTTTGGAGGACAATTCGTATAAACCATGACTGTCAAGCTACAAAAAGGACAACAAAAGCACAATAGAACTATAGTCCATATACCGTCTGAACTGAATTCCTTCAGAAGGTGTATGATAGCTTTGTGTGACAAGGTTGTTCATTGATAATCTTCTCCAAGTTCTGAAATTTCAGTATTGACTACGTTTATGGTGCTTTTCGGTTTTTTTTTTGTCCTTCATGAAGCTCAAAGGTCATGGTTACTGCATTTTGCATAACATTCTCTCCCAGTAAACCATAATGTTTGGAGGAACATGAGGGTAAGTATAAATAATGATTTTCATCAACAAACTATCCTTTCAAATGAATAAATGCATTAAAATCTGACAAAATGTTTAGGGAAAACCTCAGCTGATCTAGTTTTCTCTTTATAAAGATTGATAAGAATAAAAAGAAGAACAGAACGGGAATCCTCTTCCAGAGTCTACCTTTCTTTTTGTTGAATTCATCTTCTTGATCATCCGATTCCTCCGTGTGATAGCTCAGCAGCTCTTCCTGGTAGACCTCAGCATAATCCACCTGTTTGACCTTTGACTTCTTCCCTTTCTTTGCTTTCTTTTCCTCGTCGCTGTCAGAACCCTTCTTTTTCTTTTTATCCTTTTTCTTCTTCTTCTTATCCTCCTCTTCCTCCGCCTCCTCCTGCACGGCATCCTCATCCTCCTCCTCCTCGGCCGACTTCTTCTTTTTCTTGCCGTCTTTGCTCTTTTTCTCCTTGGACCCCATGTCTTCTTGTCTTTCTTTGCTTTCGGATGGTTTACTCTTCTTTTTCTTCTCTTTCCTTACCTCCCGTTCCTCGTTTGAGGTCCGTTTTTCTTTGCTGATGGGCTCATTGTTGTTCTGCTCATCCGTCCCGTTGTCATTCTCTGTCACCTCAACATCTTCCTTTTTCTTTTTCTCTTTCACAGATTCGCTCTTTTTTCTCTTCTCTGTACGTGTCTCAGCGCTCTCTATCTTCTCCTCGGAGCTCTTCTGTCTTGTCTTTGCGTCCCTCTTACTCTTTCCTTTTGCCGTTGGCTCCTTCTCCTCTCCTTCGTCATCCCTATCTTCGGTTTCTGTTGGTTTTTTCTCTTTTGTGGGCATCTTTTATTCATCCGGAGTGTGGCTGGGTGAGGGTGAGTGTTTCCTCGCCGTCTGCGGTGTAAGGTGTCGCCGTCTGACCCGCGCCAGCCGATGGGCCCCTGTGTGCAGCTGGAGCAGGGCCTCAGCTCGGAGCCGGAGGCTCTCTCGCGCAGGTCTCGCGGTGCGGCACAGAGCTCATGAATAATTACTATGCTCAGTGTGGTCACATGATCTGTGAGAGAAAGCAAATGAAAACGGAGAGGACAGCGAGAGAGAGGGGGCTGGGCCTCACAGCGTTCATTATTCATGGTCTGGGGATCGCTTTACTAAAGCACGGCGTGCATTTATATGCGCACACAAACTTATATATGGCATATGTTTATAAAAATACATAAACACAACGTCAAGGGAAATAAAAGCTAATTTATGTGCATTGTCCAATTCAAAAGGTACATCAATAGAAAAAAAGTCATAGGGAGAGAAAGAAAGCGAGACTATAACAAAGAAAGAGACAGACAGACAGAGAGAAAGAGAGAAAGAAGATACACTAATAGAGAGTCTTACAGAACAGATAATTAAAGATGATTCACTAACACTTGTGAATAATTAACAGTGATTTCATTAACACAAATAAATAAGTTAGCGCCACTGGATTAACATGGTCAAACTATTTAACATGCTTTACCCAACCTAGGCAATAAAGAAGATCGGGCTCCTAATTTAGGCAAATTGCCTTCTGGCTGAAAACGCAAGTGGAAGAAGTCGCTCTAAAACACTTGTGTGTGAAAATAAACTCAAAGAACAGCCCATAAAGACCGATTTTTACATTTTCTCGACTGTTCAAAACTCACTTTTACCATGTTAGAGGGTTGTGAGTGGTTGCCAGGGCATTGCTAATGTGTTCTGGATAGTCGCTAAGGAGTTCTGAGTAGTTGTCAAGTCATAGTCCACCCTATAAACAGTAAGGTGTTTTTTTTTTCTGCAGGCACTGCTAGTGTTTTCACTAGCCTATATATATATATATATATATATATATATATATATATATATATGTGTGTGTGTGTGTATATCTTTTTTTTTTTTAAGTGACGTGGCCAAGTATGGTGACCCATACTTGGAATTAGTGCTCTGCATTTAATATATATATATATATATGTGTGTGTGTATGTATGTATCTATAATATAATTAATTGCATAATTTTTGTCATTTCATTTCAGCAAATTTCAGATATTTGTAATAATGCCTATAAAGTTAGAAAATAACTCCAAGACACCCATACATTTATAAACATTACTGCTGGGAAATTATAGCATACATACATTGCAAAACATTACAGATAGGTCTGTTATTTTCAGACATTAAATATTTATATTTATTGATTTACCAATCACTATCTGTAGACAATATGAGAAATTATACACACACATAGACTACACACACACACACACACACACGCACAGGTATGTACAAATCAAATGCAGAATTGTACTGACAGGAGAAAACTAATACTACTGCTAATTTTTGTGCGAGTATATAGCTAACCTAGGTGTGTATAGATTGGTTTTGTCTTTGTCTGATTCTGAAGTGAGTGAATAACAATTTGAACCCATAAGAAATTCTCTTGAGACGACATGTTAATTCTAACTCCTGCCATTAGCTGTATTACTAACACCTGATACTGCTATCATCTGATAAACACAGGATCAGACACCAGCTCATTTACACAGCATATCTCTCGCATACACACGTTTTTATCTCTCCCTCCCTCAGACGCACACACATTACCTCAGCAAAGATGGTGCGTTTGTCAGGATTATATATGCTTGTATTTAGGACATTTCCAGTCCTGACCCTGTACCACAACAAACCATCATCCCTATTCATCTGAAAGAAGATAACTCACCGTTTCTTTCGTTTTCATTCAACTTATTTTAGTTTGCACATGTAGAGACATCTTGTGGGCACATAGGCTACTGTAGTCGTACTATCACTGACCAGGAGGCGGCGGTATGACAAAGCGCTGTCATAATACACACACATACAGAACACACGTTAAATAATTCACTCTTCACTAAACAGCCTGTTGTAGAGAGAACAAACGGGTCAGACCAGCTAATATACTTACATCTGACCCTCCTGTTTGTGTCCAGTCCGATTTGTAAACCGGATCAATTGGTTCATTGAAAAGAACTGACTCAAATGAACGATTCGTTCTCTGATTCATATATCTGAATTCACTGATACTGAGTAATGAATTTAAATTTTTAGGTGAACTATGCTGAGATTCATTACAAGGAAACTAAATATTTTTCAGATGCTGTGATGGTTAAATTATGCATTTAGAATAAATCCAGTGTCCACTTCACTGTAAAAATACATTTTCAAAGTAACAAAGAAATGACACCACTGAATTATAGAATGGAAGCTTGTAGAATGTTCCACCAATTAAAGGCACAATATGTAAGTTTTCGTCGCTAGAGGGCGCATATTCAAAACAAACAAGGCCGCTGGAGTGATTCCTAATGAAGGACTAGCGGATACACGGCTCGATAGCAGCAGAGCTTTTATTATGCCACAGTAGACCCTTCTGCTTCTTCCGGTCATGCGTATGTGGGGTAAAGCAGCGCTGTTTTATACTAGATACATTTGAGTGTATTGAAAGTTCCATTATAATGCTACTCTGTGCGTTCATCACCTGTCTAATAAAATGCGTAACATATTAAAGTGTCTTTGGGGTTTCCATGTTTTCAACTAAATAAAACCGGAAAAATCGAGGGGTTATGACGTCATTGGCAGGCGACGCAATGACACTATGGACACGGTCCGTGTCACTAATTAAAATTGCTTATTTCTCTGGATTTAAACATCCTTCGAAACATTTGGGATAATGTAAGTACACAAGTAAGCAAAATATATAACACTGTTCTAGTGGTTTTGGGATATTTTAATTAAAAAATCTTACATATTGTGCCTTTAAGTTCTGGAAATTATATCTACAAAACATAATTCTTTCTGTTTGTGTGTCTGTGCCTGTACAGGTAAAGGAGGAGAACTCCAGAGAAATCAAATTATGCTTGTCTGATTAACACTGATTAACCTCTGAAACTGATCAATTATTTACCACTGGCTCAACATCCGACACCAACCCTGTGAGAGAGAGACATAAAGAGAGAGAACCCTAAAATAATATTAAAAAACACCACAGAACTCACTTTAAAGAGGCTAAGCATCACAAAGCTTAGAAGCAGATATGTGCTTTATTGGCTTGACAAATAACTGTACATTTGTGTTAACAAAACAAAAACAATTAATAAAAAAAAATGCATGAAAAATAAGAATATGAAATTAATAAATATTAAAAAGTAAAAATAGAATAACTGATTCATTCTGTGTCAGATATCGTTGTGCAACTTAATAAATAAATGGTGATAGATAGATAGATAGATAGATAGATAGATAGATAGATAGATGCCTTTATGATGTCTTCAAGTTTCATGAAATCGGGATCTTGATGAATCTTAACCAGTTGATTTCCTGGTAAAGTGATCATTTCACATTGTTATCACAATATCATATGCAAGCAACCTGAAAACAAAGTATATAAAGTTCAGCATTATAAACATGATCAGTCGATTTAAAGACACTAAAACCTCAATCACAGATCATGTGTGAGAGAAAGTCATAAACAACTGTGTTGGATTTGTTTACACAAAGGTTTACTTTCCCGGAAATTATCATACATAACTTCAGAACCTGTGTGTTAAACATGTAATTTACCATTATACATAAACGTTTCGACTGAAAGTCAAATTCGGTCTACTTTTATGCACTGATGTGGTTGTTAATGAACGATAAACTTGCTCTTAAACCATGTTAGGCTTGGCTTAATCTGTCTTTAAGCCAGAAAACGTAAGAAATTAATAGTTTTATATTTTTAAGAAATATAAAACTATTAATTTACAGCTTTTGATTGTATCCATAGAAACAATATATAAAGTTTTTTTTTTTTTTTACCAAATATGCATATATGTATGTACACCAAGCGGCAACCTCCCGCTCTCTCTCGTGAAGCCAACACGGGCACCCCTGCTCTATGATATACACACACACAATATACAAACTATTTTCATTGTGTAGGTTGACAGACTACATCATTTGTAGTTCTTTGGGAGTGGGTGGAGCTAGATTTTCACAACGAATTGAGCTATTAAAGGATTAGCTGAATATACTATTGGTTAAATTGGCAGTGGGTGGAATCACACAGACCAAAACAAAAACAGACATTCTGACACAGAACACACATTTCAAAGTAATTCAGCAGGTACTGCGGGTGGAAGAAGAACACGCCGCGGGCCGACTCGAAGTCATCCAGCATGTACTTCACGCGGAACGACACGTCTGTGTTCCGTGTGTTATAGAACGCCGGCAAAACCACAGAGGAGTTCTCGTAATTCCGCAGAATGTCGTAAAATGGCTTTCTCCATTTCTCCAACTTTTGAAACCTGGTTCAAATAGAGAGAGAAAATGAGGAATGCAACAGGAATGCAAACTGTATGTACGCAAAATGATCCCATTAGCATTTATAGGTATTTCTGCATAAAGTATAATTGCAGCAGACATTTATTAGATGGACCTGTAATAATAACAATAGTAATAATAATAATAATTATTATTATTATTGTTGTTGTTGTTCTTAATAATAATAACATTTCATATATTAATTAATATATAAATATATGTTTATTATTATTCTATTAATATATTTATATTAAATTAATAATTAATAAATTAATTTATATTTTGCTTAAACAACACGAAGCTTTTTAAAAATATCATTTATTACTTTTTATTATTTGAACTTATTTTAAATTAAGCTTATTTTAACACATTTCCTCCTCAAACTCTTACAATACAGTACATATATATTAATTAAATCATAAAGTATTTATATTTATCATGGTAGTATTTGTTGTGCTACCTGTAAGTTATGCTGATTTATATACATAAGTAAATAAATGCATACATACATACATAAAAATTACAGTAACATTTTTATATTAAAATAACAAGAATCATCAGGATTTAATCAGAATACAAAAATTAAAAAAAAAACAGGCAAAACTACTAGACACATTACTGTGGTGATCATTGAGGGTAAATACTGGCCAAAACTTAAAATTAATTAATTAATAAGAATGAATGAATTAATATTTTGCATACAGAAAATTAAGCCTTTTTAAATAATAATTTAATATTGTATATATATATATAAAACATGGACATGCTTTTGTGAGATTCACCCAGACACTGGTATTTAAAATATGAGCAAATCCTGTTATGTTATCCTATATTAAATATTTTTTAATATTTGTGTGTATGTGTACCTCTCAGTAATAATGCTGGGATTTACTGTAACAAGGTCAGTCTTAGATCCCACATCTTCACTGTACATATCTGAGATGGGAGGAATATTACATCTGAAAGAGAGATTTGACATGTCGTTTAGCAGATCCCTCTATATATTCCCATGATGTCTAAACAGAGAAACACACACAACAGTATTTTACCGGAAGACAAAGTCAGCTGCATCAATCTCTCGTCCACATTTGCTTGTTTTGATGATGCCGCCGTTCCCGATGACGGCACATTTCTTAAACTGGGATTTGGAATAGGGCATGTCCTGCAGTCAGAGCAGAGAATACATTCAGAAACAGGACAGGAGCAACCCAAATGGGATTACAGGGATGATTGCTTGGAGATGGTTGCTTGGCAACTGTTGCAGGCATAGGGTTTCTAGGGTGTGATCTCTGCAGAGCTTGCTAGGTAACGCCTGTCTTGATACTTAAGGAAAAGGATGCTTGATTGGTAATGTTCGTCGGGGTGTGTCTGCTTCATGTGAGAGATTCAGCTGAAGAAAAATTATGTGTTTGTGTGTGTGTGTGTATAAACAGATCTCAGCATATATGCAGATATCAATTCACCCATTTTGATTTACTTTCTTTTCCACCGCAGTCAAGCCATTCTTATGGAATCTACTGAGGATTCCTACTGGAATTTTGTTAGAATTTGGAATAAATCCTAATTGAATCACATAATAAGAATCTTATGTGAATCATATAAATTAACTAATATTATTCTCATCTGATAGAGGATAATATGTAATGTTTATTCAGAACTTGGTAACACTACACTTAAAGCCTTTGTATATAATGCATTATAAAAATATTTTAATGCATTAATTATGCCTTGTAATGCACTTTATAATGCATTATATGATTTCATTACTGTAACCACAGTTATAATACATTACAATACGTATCTATTCATTGTTACACAGACAATATAAATATAATACATATATAATTTGGCCTCAATCAAATAATATAATATAATATAATGCAGGATATTTTAATTACAACTTATTCGGAAATCTGCTTTTTTAAAATTGGGATAATCTATAATATTGGAAAAATCTTGAAAAAAACAATTTCTACTAAAAAAGAATGTAATATAATATAATATCATATAATGCAGGATATTTTAATTACAACTTATTCAGAAATCTGCTTTTTTAAAATTGGGATAATCTATAATATTGGAGTAATCTCGAAAAAAATAATTCTACTAAAAAATAATATAATATAATATAATATAATTTGGCATCAATCCTAAAAAATCAAATAAGAATCTTATGTGAATCAAATGGATTAACTAACATTTCTAAAGGTCTAGAATATTATGATAGAATATTATGTCATTTTTAATTAGAATTTATTCAGAAATCTACTTCTATTATATTGAAATAATGTATTGCTAAAAAAAAAAGGAAATATTTAATGGCGCTATAAAAGTTTATCCTAAAAGATTTCCTTTTTGATTCCTTTATGGGCATTTTATCCTCTCAGAATTATATGTTCTAAACAATTCTACACAGCAAAATCCCCAGAGTTAAATCAACTCTGCTCAGAGTACATATTGTCCCAATCTACAGAGTGTTAAAGTAACACTGAAGCAGAGTTACCACTGTTGAGGATTATGTGATATATGTTTTCATGTCTAAAAGCCTGAGCAGTAGTTGTTCATCTTCAACTTTGTTAACAGCGGGTTTTCTTTACTAATGCTCACTCATCAATTAATTAATTGCTTAATTATCCTATTAACTTTAACTCGGCTTCAGTGTTACTTTAACACTCTGTAGATTGGGACAATATGTATTCTGAGCAGAGTTGATTTAACTCTGGGGATTTTAAAGGAATCTATTTAGAACGTTCTAAATGATGATGAAATTCCAAAAGGAATCATCTGTGCTTTTTCATCTGCTCTTCTAAACTCGTGTAGTCAAAGACCAGTGCTTTAAGCATGATTTGACACTCACATCAGGGAACATTTTAAAGATCTCCGGGCTGATGTGCAAGATTCCACTCGTATCCACCTCATAACGCAGTTTGCTGCCCGAGGGAGTGTTTCTCTTTGTGGTAAACAGGAAGGAGGGGGCATTGCAGCAACGAGACAGAGACGTTCTATTGGACAGGGGGAGAGATGACATCATCGCTTCGTTACAACAAAAGAATCCTATTGGATATCGAAGGAGATGACATCATTCCTTTGTTTCAAAAAGAAATCCCATTAAGACTGCTGAAGTTGGGAGATAAAAGAGAAAAATGTTGATGTACTCACCTGAAGTTCTCCGCCTGCTCCTTGTTTTGCGCCCACTTACACACCTGCAGGTTCCTCCATCGCTCAAACAGCTCTGATGTCTTCACCCTAAAACACACACGCACACATGAAGTCAGTTAAATAAGAGAAAAACAGCAGCAGTCACAGCTTCAAGTAGGTTTGCTTATTTAAAGGGGTCATGGGATGCTACATGCACTTTTACAAGTTGTTTGAACTGAAATGTGTGTTGGCAGTGTGTGTAAAAGGTGTTTTTTACACTACCATTGAGAAATTTTAACCAAACTATGTTACAGACTTCTCATTAAGACCCTAAAGAATCATATCAGCTTGTGGAAAATTTGCATCATATGACCCCTTTAAAGCCTCCAAAGAAAGGAGTGGAAAGGAGGTGTTCTTGCTCAGATGTTGTATTTCTTTAAATAGATGCTCTTTTTACAGGGTTTGTCCTTTGAGAGGAGACATTCAGCAGGAAATCTGACTCCCGCTGGAATGCTTGCTCTGTATGTACAGACATCCGAGAGAGAAACTTACATGGTCAGTACTTTCACATCTGTGATTTCTTGCCGTAGTTCCTTGCAGGAAGTGGAGTTGAACTCCAAAGAGCCATCGGGGCGTTCCAGATACCTGCCAGAAAACACGGAGTCAGACACGAGTCCTCTGAGCACACGCACACACACACACACACACACACTGCAGGAACAACCTGAGATTCCACCATGAAGAACCTAACTGAAGATCCTGATCTTTCTCGCTGCATGTGCCATGTCAAACAATCCTGAAGAAACGCCAATGGATTTCTGTCACAACTTAGAACCAAATCTAATAGAATCAAA